ACGAGAGTACCATACGGGGCGGTGCCCGGTATCAAAACAGCACTGTCTGCAAACTCCGAAGTTATGTGGCTATCAGAATTCTCAAAAATCCATTCTTGACCGTTTGACCTTGCAAAACGAAATTTTGCACAAAAAAAATGCTTCTAAATTCTAAGGAAAAACTGGGATGCATCGCGCTTTTTAGCATGTTTAAGAACTTTAGAAAAACCTGACAGAAAACGAAATTCTGATGCTAGTGATTCTATTTGGATACACCGTTTGTCTCCAGATAAACATCTCGTCCAGACTGTGATTTTGTAACTAACTCCTATATTTGGATGCTTAGAACGATCAAGGGGAACGTCTCCAAACAAAGACGTTAGTAATGATGTGGAATAATTTCAGAAATCAAAATTACGTTGTTGGGATATAGCAATTTAAACAACATTTAACAGTGCATACAAACTTACTATTCAAAACACGGAAAAGTCTGATATGTATGTCATCGTCCTTAAAAAATGATCTTGGCTGCATCTTTGAACGCAATACTCAGTCACACGCAAACGGCTAAAAGGTGCTCAAAAGTTGCAGCCAAACGAATAATACACTGCAGATTTTTATGTAGTTTATTGCTAATTTTTAGTTTTGGCTTAAAGTTAATCCAGAATTAATTCAAAAGTTACCTCATTCAAATTTGACTCAAAAATTCAAGTTCATGATCAGTAATTCGAGCAGCTATACGTGTTTCCGTAAATCTACTACCTTTTATTTTCGGAGAATCCTGCTTATGTCAGTTAGTATCACACTGCATAACTGACGGCCTGAAAGGACTGAAAAAGCTGAGCTTCGGATTCAACGGGCTTGCTGCAAGGACAAGTTCGCTTTTTTAATGCCGTGCTGCTGCTGGTTGTTTTTGTTTGTTCCAGGTTGATGAGGAAGAACTGTTGGGCCGCGATAGGCAATTCGAGGAAAGTCTGCGTCATTATCGGCCAACTCTGAAGAACATCACAGTTGGCGAAATTGTCAGACGCAGACTTGGGACGAACAGACAATATCAGGATTTGAAAGACCTGCAGCCCAGATTTTCACTCCTCTTTTCTTTTAAACTTAAGTTAGCGGCGTATCCAGGAATCAAAAAAAAGGAAACGGAAGCTTACTACAAAATTCTCGCCGTTGAAAATTTGTGCCTGTCCATGTTTTCACTGTCATTTGCTTCACAATTATCTAATTTTTGTACCCTTAAAAAAATCTCCAGACTTTTGGTTATAATACCTCGTCAAATTCAAAACCTTTCAGACTGAATTTTATTCTTCTGTGTTAAAATTAGTGCTGTTTGTTTATTTTCGCCTCATGTACACTAGAAAAAGGAAAAAGAGAATTCCTATATTGCCGTCGTTCATAAATACGCCGCTGACTCATGATTCTTTTACTTACAAATTAAAAAAAGTTGCAAAATTATTGTAGATTTTTACGAAAAGAAAGACTTGAGTTTTTGCACTTTTGAAAAAGGAACAATTTTGTTGAAATTTAAGAGGCATTATTTTTCGCTGACTTTTAGTACCAAAGTCTCTTCGATTCATGCTAAGCTTTCAGTACGCCGAGAGAAAATTCCTGAAAAAACTGCAAAAATCCATAGAAAAAACAATCTTTCTGTATATTTGCTAATGTATAAGCCCAATTCTGTTTGTTGCAGATATCGCGAGCGGCGTGATAAGAATAATTTGGCAGCAAAGAAGTCCAGAAGTAATAGACGGGAGCGCGAGAAAATGATGCAGCGTAAAGTTGATGAATTGGAGAAGGAAAACGAAGCATTACGGGCACAATTGGCAATCTACACGCAGCAGCTCGAATACGTAAGCGTAGCAGTTTCTCACGTTTTTATGCGTTTTTTGCAGCTATGCAATGCAAAAACGCATATTGTCGAGGGGTTGCCTGTGTGTGTGTCTGTGTGTGTATATGTGTGCGTATGTGTGTCTGTGGGTGCGTCTGTAACGAGTTTTCTTCTCGAGATCCACGAAAGCTACAAGGCTGAAAATTTGGTGACTTAATCTACACATACGTGCGGGCT